AAGTTTCCAGTATGTGATGTTCGTAGGCCTTCTCTGCCCTGGGCCTCATCCCTTCCTGGCCACCTCTAAAGAGCTCAACACCTCTACTTCATGGACACTCAGTGTCCTGAGATGAATAACATCCCCCCCGCCCACATTCATGCCCACCTGGAACCTCAGAATTGACCTGATTTAGAAATTGGTTTTTGCAGATGCGATTGTTTAAGATATGTAGATAAAATGATTCTGGACTCCAGCTAGGCCCTAATCCAATGACTCATGTCTTGATAAGAGAAAGGAGAGGGAAACTGAGATGCAGAGACACAGGACAAACACCACGGGAAGACAGAGGCAGAGACTGAAGTGGCACTGCCACAAGCCGAGGAATCCCAGGAGCCCCCACAAGCTGGAAGAGTAAAGAAGGATCCTGCCCTACCACTGTCACAGAGCACGAGCCTGCTGACACCTTGATTTTAGATTTCTGGACTCCAGAATTGTGAGAGGATAAATTTCTATCACTTTAAACCACTCAGTGGCACTTCGTGTAGTACTTTGTTGAGGAATGAAGGTTTCTTCAGTGTTATGGTGGGTCCTGCCCCAGAGGTCAGGAGCAGCTGCTCTACGGCCATCGTGACAGTGAGCAATCACACCGTCCTGGTCACGACTTGGAAACAGCTCTCGATGGCATGCTCCTCATCTCTCCCACCCTTGCTCTGCTTTCAGACTTCCTTTTTCAGCCCTGAACATGTGCCTCAACTAACTCACACTGGTCCATATCCACTTTTTGCTGTCACACCCCTCCCTACATCTTTGTACAGTGCCCTGCCAGAACGAACCACCCTGCATACAGAGTTTACCCTAGTGAGCCACCTGCTTCTGCCCAAGGGGGGCACCGCACACACTACGTTTGGTCTGGTCTCCACGTGTCAAGTGAAGGAGCCCACTGGGAGGCCTACTCTGCATGAAGCACCTCAGTCCCCACTGGGAAGGCTTCCATTCCTCCCTAGGGTCTGACTCCATGTGTCCTGCTCTTGGGAAATCACTCGTTCCCAGGCTTCACGTATCAGTGTTGTCAACTCTGTGCCTGCTCTGGGATTCCAACGTAGACATGCAGAGAAGCACTAAATCTTAAGCTCATCCTGAAACAAGACAAGCCAGAGGTGTTAAGAACAGACTCGGGTAAAACCTAAAAGCATAACAGGTGACACTCAAATCTGGAATTGAGAAATGGCCAGGCATTGCAACGCACTGGTCTTCCCTGCCCCTGCCCTGTGCTGGGCAGGGGGTTATGGTTTGCTGTGCTTCTCCCTCTCTGTCCTCATTCTGCTGCTGCTTTCCAGAGCCCGCCATTGCCCTTCAGACTAACCCTGTGCACTTAGGACCCAGCAAGCCTGGGTGTGGACATAGGGCTTGGAGACCTTCATCAGGATGACCAGGAAGAAGCAGCACGGGCCAGAAAGGAGGTGGGTTGGTCACTCTGTATGCCTGAGAGATGGTGCCTTCCCCAGTTCAGAAGGTAGGTCAGCGATGGGCAGCATCCAGAGACACCCCTGAGACACAACCAGGACAGCACGCCATCTTTATTGGTTTAGTCTATTTCAGACATGGGGGTTGGGATCTCATTCTTCAAGGAAGCAGAGAGAAGGGACAGATATCTGTGTAGGAAGGGGTTGAAAAGTGGAGAGAGAATAACTCTTTAGGAATATAGGTTGGCAGCAGGTAGAGAAGAATCCAGGATGAGGATGAAGAACGACTCAGATGCACTTTTGAAGCTGGCCTCAGGAATCCTTTTTCTTGACCTGAGGAAGAGAGGGCATTGTCAGGGCCCAAGGAACTGGAGCAGGAGGAGGGGGAAAGAAGAGGCGAACTCTGGGGACTGATTCTTGGCAAACTTGGGGAACTTGGGGCATATAGGTTCTCCCATCCTCAAATGATGCATTCTGTAGTGATCCTGCATTTTCTCCCCAGCCTGGTGGCCTATTACACTTTCACTGAGATGACAGGATGTATCCAGGCCAGGGACTGGCTCTGAGATTCCCTACATCCCATGTACAATGGGCCACCCCCTCTCTCCAATCACCTGCCCTATTATGCCCTCCTCCTTACCATGGCCATCAGCACCAGGGCGCTGACCAACACTGCATACAGGGTGGCCTTCCCCAGCAGGATCTCATAGAGGACAGTGGCAGACAGGAGCCCTTGCTGATAGGACACTGTGGGCAGGAAGGAGAGCAGGTAGGTAGGTACCTGCGAGCACCCCTCAGTGTTCACGGGTTCTCCATGCCCTGACTCCACAGCAAAGACCATAGGAGATGAAGAGAAAAAGGAGAGACTCACTTACCCGAGGTGAAGCCACAGTCTGAAAGAAAAAAAGGGGAGAAAAATGGATGAAAAAATGCCACTTCTTGAGGACACAGAACGTTAGATCACAGACTTTAAAGTCATACACTGATAGGCCACACACACACATGAGCTCAACAGTGCAAAGGCAGCCTCATCTGACAGCCCTGGCCCTGGCTTCCTCATGCCACTTCTGTGCCAGGAACATGGTCATTAGGATCTTAGGAAACTAGGACCGGTGAGGGGATGGGAGACGCACCACTCAGATGCTGAGCAGTATAGGCCAGTCGTGACGGGGCTGAGGATCTGGGGGAGGAATGAGCCTGAGGTGCCCATTTAATTTCCATGCTCCGTGGGTGAAAGCACATGCTATGGTTGCTCACACTGGGAGCCTGGATCAACCCATCCCGTCCACTCTGGCTTTCTTCTGGGTCTAGTCTTGTCTCTACCTGGACCGTCTATTTCCCACTGGTGGCAGATCTGACTCAGTGTCCTCTTGGACTCCCCAGGCCCCACTCACCTGCTCTGCCCCAGGCCTCGGCACTGACGTTCTGAGTGATGGGTT